CGCTCTTAACAACAAGGATGCTGGTTTGACTCCCGCATGAGATGGTGGCTACGCCCACCTGCAACTAAGTTTGAACACAGCACCTTGAGCTTAAAGGCCACAAGCTGCTGACGGGCAGCCAGATGGCGACTGGCACCCTCCACAACAAAGACTGAAGAACAACAACTTCGCTGGTCCCCTTCCCCAATTCCCTAATAAAATCTTTAAAAAAAAAAAATCACCAGCATGGAATTTCGTGAAACATCGTTGGCACTGACATTCTTGTAGAGCATTGTCACCGTAAACTTTATGCAACTTTTCACAAGCTTGACGCACATTCTTCCCTTTATGGAAGTAAAACAGTAAAATAAGGCAAAAATGCACAGTTTGGTCTTCCATCTTTAACTTGTAAGATCTCCAAAACTCAACCAAATCACTCAATTTTTTTTTAGAATGAAGCTAGAACTGTCATCTGTCAAATGACATAGCAATAACATAGATGCGAATGACTCTAGTACTTCCAAAAATGAACTAGGGCCATCTGTCGCAAACATGCATCATGACTTTTCTGAAGACCTAATAGTTCTAGAAGTCCTCTTTTGTGAGTGTCTTTAATTGCGTTGTTGTGGCTGCCTCAATGTCCTGAATCATTTTGACTTTGGGAAAGAGCCAGAAGCTGAACGGTGCCAGATCAAATGAATAAGGTGGATAAGGACCCACCCTAATGTCTTTATTTGACAGAAATTGCCATATATCAGAAGTGATGTGACATGGAGCGTTGTCATAATGGAGGATGATTTACAGCACACTTTAAAACACGCCTTCTTTCAATCCTAACTCACACTCGATTGACTGTACCTAAGTTGAAACTTGTCACACACTGTTACTAAGGTTCAACATGCCACTTCCCATATTGAAGATCCCTGCCTTTCCATTATTGGCACTTGGCAGCAGTAGTCACCATATTTTCTGTTCACAACAGAAAGGCTCTGTCACAAATCGCTTCCAGTACGGCAATTTCTGTCAAATAAAAACATTATGGCATGTCCTCATCCACATTATTCACTGGATCTGGCACCATGAGACTTCTGGCTCTTCCCAAAGCCAAAATGACCATGAAAGGAAAACATTTTGAATCGATTCAGGACATCAAGGCAGCCACGACAGTGCAACTAAAGACACTCACGAAAAAGTACCTCTGGAACTGCTTCAGAAAGTGGCAAGAACAATGGGATAAGCGTGTTTGAAGCGAGGGAGATTATTTTGAGGGGGATTAATGGCAATGTGTCTTTTACTGTAATAAATTTTTTTTTATTTAAACATTCACCATACTGTTTGATCACACCTCATATTTACATTTTAGTTTCTAAAGATGCCCTAGAAACATTTTATCAACAGTTCAAAATATTCCAGGTTTTATTAAATCACATCTTATAAAATAATCTTTGAAAAGTTCCCAGGCAGTTTCCATTATATCATGATGATAACCTAACTTTAGGATGAACTAAAGACTCTCATTCTCTGTAAGCATTCTTCCATAGGCTTCAACTTCTTTTCTATGAGCAGTTTTCTCTATAAAGAAAGTTTAGGTTTTCTTTAGATTATATAAAAACATAACTTTTTATTGATTCTTGTAGCTTTTTCTACCATTCTGTTTCTCCCCTTTCATTGAATTCCAATATTCTTTAATGAATAGTCTCATCTACGTATTCATATTTTCTCCACTTATTCTCTTCTTTCACCTAAGATTCTGACTTTCAATCCTACAATTGCACTAAAAGTTTTTGAGGGTCATCTTGTTCTTCAGTCCTTATCCTGCTTTACTTCTCAGTAACAATGGATAAAAATGAACATAACTTTTCTATGGTCTTCTAAGCCCAATTCATTTCTACAATAAACAGCAACCCTGATGTTCAGTCCTTCACCTTTCTAGTCCTCTTTTATTAATTCTCTCAGTTCCTTAAATCTCAGTGCTTCAAACCAGATTCCCTAATCTACATTTCCAGCCTTGACCCCTTTGCTCAGGTCATCTGTACTTTGCTTTCTTCTTTTCTAGTTCCTCATGACCAATATCCTCAACCACACACTCGTAAACCATTACTTGCTGTGGATTAGCTAATCTTATACATTTTATGTTGATTCTCATTGGTGTTACTTTAAGTTTCGCGTTATTTTCTGATCTTGGGGGCACTTTCACTATTAGGATATTGACCAGCATACTTTGTCTTGGTTTTCTCTTAGAATACAAAAGTTTTTCACAAGCATTAGATTATCAATTATTTGCCTTTGGGCTAGTTTTTTTTTGTTTTGTTTTTTCATTTTTTAATAATTTCCTATTCCTTAGAGACCTGACCTGACCTATGGAAGTATTCTTCTGAAGTTCCGGTCACATGTACACTCGACTATCTTGTTGAGTCAGTTAAAGCTATCCCTTCTTCCCAATCCAGATTCTTTCTCTCAACATTGTGCGCATCAAATATCTTAACCCAGGTAATATCTTGCCAGAGGAAAATTATGAGATGAGAGCCTCCTAGAGAAGTGAGGGCTATTGACTGAACTGGTTGAAAGCTGTCGTTATTAAAATATTTTTGATTCACAGGGTAGACCTTAAGATGACTAATAATTCTATGTCAAGATCCTAACTCACTTCTATAGGAACCTACAGGCAATCCCTTCATTATCTTTGATTTTTGTGTAAGCTTAATCAGTTTTGGGAATTCTTACAAATTTTTCCATTTTTGATACCTTAATAGATTTCTGTATGAAACTGTAAGGTGACAACTGGCACTCGCATTCACGGAAGACTCCTTATCAAATTATTGTCCTATCACTTGCATGAAAAGTAGACTAACACAATGTGACAAATGTATATGAAGTCTAGACAAAATTTTTTTCAAAGTTTCTTCAGCCACAGGCAGGTCCATCAGCACAATCTTCTGTTTCCCTCGATGGGCATATCATCTCTAATGAAACTGCATAGACCTGGCTACTGTGACAGAAAGACACCAGCTGCTAGGTGTATCTACCTCATTGCTCCACCTCAGGGTTCACAGTACAATCTTCTGATGGGAAATCCAAAGGAGCTTCTCCTACAGAGGACAGTAGGATGGCAGGGAAACGCTGTTCTGCTTAGGAAATAGTGATACAGCTTTCCTGTCCATCAGGAAATTGTCATCCTGGATGACACATCAATCTTTTCTGAGACCGGATTGTTACATCTTTGAAAGGCTAATAACACAAGTGAAAGAAAAACTTGTTTCTAAATTTTCAATGCTAGGAGCACTACGGTACCATATAGATATGTTACCGAATAGAACAGCCATTTCTACTTTTTCACTGGTATCTCATTTCTTTTTTAAAATCCAACCAAGAGAAAAATATACTCCTTTCAGGAAATGCTTGCATAATGCATCTCTTCATATTCATCTTGATGAAGAGAACAAATTAGAACATTAAAAGTAATTCATTCTAAAAATCTCACTAAAGGGTTTAGATTACAAGGGAAATTCAGAATTCTAGATCAAATCATTACTCAAACTTCCAGACTCAAACAGATATTTGTAGGCCAATGTTTATTGCAGCATTATTAACAATAGCAAAAAAAAACACAAAACACAAAACAGCCAAAAGCTGAAAAAACCCAAATGTGGGACAAACGAATGGATAAACAAAATGTGGTATATATCAAATATTGTTTTTAGACTATCACTATCTTTTTTTAACTAAACTCTTACTATAAAATTCACTAATTTTATGAATTCAGACATCTTCCTCTATAAAAAGGGATCACTTTCCTATTTGCAAGTATTATCAATAGGAATACAATAAATACTTTTATCAGTGCTATTATTGGGTTGTCGGAAAAGTCATGACGCATTTTTGCAACGAAAAACATAGAAAAAATGTCATGATTTTTCTGACAATCCAATATTATACTTTTCTTATCATCCAAAATATTCTTACATGCTACTACAGAAATAAAAACTCCTTTAGTATGACAGAAATTAAGAGATTGACTTACCGAATTTGTATGTAAGAGGTTTCTCTGAAGCTGTTCAATTCTTTCCGCTTGCTTTTCAATTGTTACTTTTAACTCAGTATTTTCAGTTTCAATCCTAAAATGTGTATTTTGAAATAATTATTCTCACACATGGATTTAAAACATACCACATTAATCTCTGAACAAACATCTGAAGGTGTAATTCCATAAAATCTTAAAATTTGAAAAGCACATATGGCAAGTGTGTCATTTTTCTAGTTGTGTTTCTGGATAATGTGCAAAATTTAGAGATAATGTACACAAATTATGCATGTCAAAGTAGCTCAGGCCAGCCCAGTGGATCAGTTGGTTAAGAGCACAAGCTCTTAGCAACAGGGTCGCTAGTTCGATTCCCACGTGGGCCAGTGAGCTGTGCCCAAATTGAGCTGCCACTGAGCTACCAATAGGCAGCAGAATTGCTCAGCTGGTGAGAGCACATGCTCCTAACAACCAGGTTGCTGGTTCAACTCCCACATGCGATGGTGGGCTATGCCCACCCGCAGCTAAGATTGAACACGGCACTTTGAGCTGAGCTGCCCTGAGCTGCTGAAGGGCGGCTGGATGGTTCAGTGGTTAGAGCATGCGCTCTTAGCAACAAGGTTTCCGGTTCGACTCCCGCATGGAATGGTGGCCTATGCCCACCCGCAACTAAGATTGAACCATGGCACCTTGAGCTTAGTGGCTTCGAACTGCCCACGGGCAGTTGGATGGCGAATGGACTTGGAGCTAAGCTAACTGTGTCTTCCACAACTAAGATTGAAGGACAACAACTTGGCTGTTCCTCTTCCCCTATTCCCCAATAAAATCTTAAAAAAAAAAAAAAGTAGCTCAAAGCTGAAATTTTTATGCAGCTTAAGACTCATGTATTCATTATCATAACTGATCTATTGGGTTGTCGGAAAAGTCATGACGTATTTTTTTCTGTTTCTCATTGCAAAAATAAATCATTGCAAAACTGTATCATGACTTTTCCAACAGCACAATAATTCTCATACTATATTACACATCTGCTTTATAAATACTCAAGTTATTTTCTAAGCTGCTTTAAATTATACTTTTGCATGTGATCTTGCGTCTTCTCAGCATATCTTACAGCTTCTGTATGTCGATCGTTTGCTTCAAGCAACTAAAATAAAGAAAAAAAAACTTTTTAACTACTTATGATCTAGTACACATCTACCTGTTTGTGTAGCTAAAATTTGATTGGCACACAACCACAGTGCTCCATCTGCACTCTGTTTATGCTACTTCCTGCCATAACAGCAGAGCTGAGTGGTGACAACAGAGACCTTATGGCCCACAAAGCCTAACATATTTACTACCTGGCCCATTACAGGAAAGTTTACCAACCTCTTCTTCAGTACCAAAACAAAAACATTATTCATATCAAATATACAAATTTCTAAATTGATCAAATGGGGAAACAAGGAAAATTACTTTATGATATTTATAGTTTTGTATTCTAAGAACCACATCAATAAATATTAACATATGTGAATGACCATAGCTATTCCAGTGATTACAAAAGTCAACAAGCTGCTCTCAGTGACAACCAGATGTTTAATGGACTAGTTTAGGGGCAGTATCTACCTAGGAGCCACAAAGCCTGGGTTTCAATCCCAAGTCCACCAGCTATTACCTACGAGACTTTTTTTTTTTTTAATTGGGGAATTGGGGGAAGGAACAGTGTTGGGGAATCGGGGGACGGGAACAGACAAATTGCTGTCCTTTTGTTCTTCAGTCTAGTTGTGGAGGGCGTCATTTCACTGGCCCATGTTGGTATTATCATTGTGCTCTTCCCAGTTGAGGCAGTCGCTCCCCAGCCATTGGACAGCTGCTCACGACTGCTCACGGTAGCTCACGCCTGACGCTGGCCAGCCCCACTGCAGCCTATGCCACCGCCACCAACTCACTGTAGCCCTGCTCCAGGTTGAGCTGTTGTTCACTATCCTAGCTGCAGAGGGCACAGTGTCACTGGCCGTCATGTGGGATCTGAACCAGAGCCCTGCTGCTCAGAGCTGGCGTCCCACGCCAACTCTTAACCTAACGCACCACTCAGCTGGCCCTTACCTACGTGACTCTGAGCAAAGAACTTAAATTTTCTGAGTCTCAGTTTCTTCATCTGTAAAATGGAGATAATAATGGCATCTACCTCACTGGGATGCTGGGAACATTAAATTACGAAATACATGCAAAGTACTTAGAAATGTACTTGGTGCATAGTAAACTCTAAGTTTGCAATTAACATTATTGTCACTGTGTTTTATGTTCTAATAAAATGTGAGATTTTAGACAGATGGCATGCCAATGGAAGTGGTCTCTTACACAAGTTACACTGAAATCATTCTTCATGCCACTGACAATGGCAGGAAATGGGGAGTATGAGGCCCAGAATATAGCCCCAGTGCTCCATAAAACTTTGACCAATTCCACCAGCCAACACTACTTTTTGTCTACTTGTAATAATTTATAAGTTGCTTCGTCTCTGTACTACTCAGTGGGCAATGACAATGGACTGTAACGCAGAAACCACTCCCCGACTGAGCACACAATGCACATGGACCATGACAAGCAGGGTAAAGCCACTGACATGGAATGAATGGGCTCTAGAGCTAAATCCAACTTCCCAAATCACTGCATTCCCAGCAAGTGTTGATGCTGGGCTGCCTTAGCGCGTCCTCTGATGAGCAGCAGATGAGGCGACAAGCTCTGGAGGATCAGAAAAGCCATCCCTGGAGCTGTACAGTTAGGGATGTGCTCTCAATCTGCACATCCCAGTGTGGCTGAGGAAGGAAGGGAGGCTGGTTTCCTTTTTTATTCTTTTTTTATGGAGAGAGGGGAAATATGCCTTTAATTGAACAGTTCTCTATTACATTAAATGCTTTCAATTTTATATGCAATTGTTTAAAATACTTTTAGAATAAAAGCTTAATTATATCAATGTCTCCAAGAAGGAAGTATTGGTTTGGCATAAAATATTTAATTTTATCCTAACAACTGTTCAGCAAACTACTTTCCACTTCTACAAGGATAGGTGCCATCATATGCCCTTAGACAAATGTGTACTTAGAAAGATAAGATTCTCTCTCATGAAAAATTAAAACAATGGAAAATTCAGGGCAAGGATGCTCTGCACAGAGTAGCTGACACGTGCAGAGGAAAATGAGCTCAGGGAGAGTTGGAACAGTCAGAGAAAGAAGGTTCGCAGAGAGGAGAGATTGGGAGCCGGGCGTCCAGGGGCAGGGAATAAACACTTAGGCTCCCACCATAACCTGTAAACTAATGTTCACAGCAGAATTATTAATAGCCAAAAGAATTATTGGAAACGACAAAATTCCATCAACTGATGAGTGGGTTAGTATTTTATCCACAAAGTGAAATAATGTTGGGCAATATGCAGAAATAACTAACATATTAACATGTGCTATAACATGGTTGAGCCCTGGAAATGGGATGTTAAGTGAAAGAAGTGAGTCACAGAGGAACTCATATCGTGTGATTCCATTTACATGAAATATCTTGAATAGGCAAATCTATAGAGACAGAAAGTAGATTGGTGGTTGCCTGAGTTGGGGGAGACAGAAAGCTGGGGGTGACAGCTAAGTGATATGGGGTTTCTTTCAGGCGTGAGAGAAATGTTCTATAATTGATTGTGGTGACAGTTGCACAATTCTCTGAATGTATTAAGAGATATTGAATTGCACATGTTAAATGGGCGAACTACATATGTGAATTACATCCATATAAAGTTTTTTTTAAAAAAAACATAATAGTGGATCTAGATAATTTTCTTAATTCTCTATTGTGGCTGTGCCTACTATAATAATCTACATATTTCTATACTTTTACAATAATTCTAAAATGAAAAGAAAATGAAGGAAATGCCTACTTCGCCTGGTTTGCATAATGACCTTTCTGTACAAGTTAGTCTGAAATCCATGATATATATACGGATTCTATATCCATTCACAAAAGTGAAGATAAGAAATAAGAAAATGTTCTGGAACGTTCCATTAAACATTATCCTCTGATTTTAAATGGCTGCCTCTTCATGGTAGTGGAGATATCACTACAAAATATTGTTTAGTAGAAAAAAGTCTCTCAAATTCTATGAGCCAATGATGCATAATTCTCAACTTGCCCAAGGGTTTTATATGTTTTATTGTAAGGAAAAACATACAATACAAATGGCAGAATGAAAGTTTAAGAAATAAGTGCATCGGGCTGGCCGAGTGGCTCAGTTGGTAAAGAGTTAGCTTAAGAGTGCGAGCTCTGAACAACAGGGACACCAGTTTGATTGTCACATTGGCCTGTGACGCTGCACCCGAGCTGAGCTGCCGCTGAGCTTCCAACAGGTGCCAGGATGGCTCAGCTGGTAAGAGCACATGCTCCTAACAACAAGATTGCCTGTTTGATGGTGGGCTACGCCTGGCCGCAACTAAGACTGAACTCGGCACCTTAAGAGCATGCGCTCTTAACAACAAGGCTGCCAGTTCGACTCCCACGTGGGATGGTGGCTATGCCACCAGCAACTAAGATTGAACACAGCACCTTGAGCTTAGAGGCCATGAGCTGCCAACAGGCAACCAGATGGCGACTAGCACCCTCCACAACTAAGACTGAAAAACAGCAACTTGGCTGGTCCCCTTCCCCAATTCCCAAACACTGTTCCCCTACCCCAATTCCCCCATTTTAAAAAAAATGGAAAAAAAGAAGTGCATTATAAATACAATAAAATTATAATAAGTTAATTATAATGAAAATACAAAAGAAAGCTACCCATGAAAACTGGTATCCCCAAACACTTGATATTATTTAACCAGCTATAGGTTATTATTTAACCAGCTATAGGTTAACTGTTGACATGTTAAATTTCATACATACTTGATTTCTGATTTCATTTAATTTCTTCTTTAAATCCTGTGTCTCATCTTCTAAATTCATACGATAACGTGACGTAACCTCCAGTGAAGCCTCTGACATAGATTGTTTTTTTAGGGTATCAGCCAATTCTTGTTGAAGTTGTCTAACAACTACCTAATAAGATATTTTTGTTACTAATTTTATAAATCCCACTATTAAATTATTTTAATAATATATAACTCTAACATATGTGTCTTGTTAGAGTTATATATTGACATAATATATAACTTGAAAGAGATCACCACATGCATCAATTCACCTTCTTTTCCTCTCACGGACACACTGCTGTTTACTGAATCCGGGTACAGACACAGAAAGCGTTATCCCCAATCACTGTTAGGTTACTTGAACAACACATTCAGCCCCACTCTCATTTTCCCCTGAGGAACCTACAAAGCTTTACAATCCACTGACGTCTCAGAGAGAAATGGGTATGTTCGTGGGACTA